AGGTAACTATTGGGTGCTTTGCTTAGAGAAGATTTAACTAGCAAATTTAATTTCAATATAATGACGGTTACCTACGTTCATATCTTCTATGCACGACAGCAACGGGGACCTTTGTATAAAATATAGGATATAAAGCCTTATCGAGGGATTCTTATTTTCAGAATTTAGACAACAAAACTATAAATTTTTGTACACGCTATATCTTGAAATTTCGGGTAGGTATAATTGCAATGCATTTCGCTTAGCCTGCTAAAAATTATCCCAAAGGTAAGCCAATGGTGCAGACGTGTATCCAATAAGCTATTTATTCCTAGATGAATCTTAAAAAGATATAATGAAAAATCCTTTGGGGTGTAATAAAAATATTAGATTCTATTGAATGAAATTTGTAGAAATTCAATTTGCGCATAACCTATAACACACGTTTGTTTGGTGTGTACCAATGAGATTTATTGGTGTTCTTGTAGTCTTCATAACCAAGGCACCATAAGAATTTTGATCAGATCGTTGCGAGAGATGAAAAATCTAAATGTATTCTGTCGATCGCAGCGGATAGCACAAGAAATGATAGTTAACAATCATACACCTCGTTTTTTTCTGGTAAATGAATGAATCTTTCTAGACTAACTTTTTTTAATATCAATTAATTAATGATAGTTTATGTTAAAGGGTATTCCGCTGCTCGAATTTGTGAAGGTCGATAACATTTATGATTTCTCTTAGATGAGTAAGTATTCATAATAAAATTCAATTCTATAAACTTAAAAGCCTACAAATATATAAAAAGGCTAAAGTCATTAGAATTGCTTGTCCAGCAAATCAGATTCTTGTACAATTAAAAGAAATTTAGCAAAGAGTCTTTGTGTGCAATCTGCGCATACCTTGGAGCAGAACTACCGCGTGAAGGCGGCAGCTTTCATTAGATAAATTCCATCAAACCTGATATGAACTATGGTATTCTAGATTGTTGTTTCTTGAGATCGGAAGCTGGGAACAATATAATAGCTATCACAAAGTGGAACATAAATAATAAAATATACATACTCATATTATTAGGGCATTTATTATGAAGCATATATTTCTTCATTTGGAGATGTACTAGATACAATGCTGAATAAGACTATTTTGCATAACTCAGAAAATAAATCAAACACTATTAAATCCTGATAAGCAAAATTGAGAGACACAAAACTATATGTAATTATTACAAAATTACCGATGCCAGAGGTAATTTTCTTCATGCCTTTGAATTGCTAAGTAATTGCTTCTTAAAAGGCACTGGCTAATGATTGATCACTTCTGCCAAAATAATTACGCAAATATTCCGTATAAAGAGGAAGCTTAGAGATGTGAACTGGGCGTGTTCAACGTTTGGCTAAATGGACTCTTTCCCGAATAGAAGTGCCAATTCCAATTTTTGCATAATTTGCTAATGGGTCCATCATTAATGTAATTCGGTACAACTCCTTCCCTCGCCCTGCTTTCAGTGCTTAAAGTGACCGTTATGTTGATACTCCTGGTACAATCTGATAGCATGCACACAGACTAGCAAACCTAGCTCCCTGTATCCTTTTCTCGAGCTCAAGATAGTCTTGAGGAGAATCAAGCCTTATAGGAAGGAGTAAAGTTAGAAATGTGGAGGGAAATAAGGGATGTTTGTAAGAAGCCCTAGAAAAATAGGGGAGTTCTCGGGAGTTAAGCGTTCTAGCGCTGAGCGCGGATGATCTGTTATTTAGGAACATTTGTAACATGATAAGCTAGCTATTCGTGGACAAATAAAACTTGCTATCCAAGAGCTCTTCGAATGCACACTGGTTAAACCGTCACATTCTGGCCTTGAGCATACCTAGGCAAACTGGTTGCTCAGTTGCCCAACGGAACGATTGACGTTCGCACAAGCTTTACTGGATGTACAGGAGTGTGTTAGGGGAGACACGAGGGGGCAGGTGAGCCAATGTAGGTATATATCGCGTAATTATGCATTTTGCTGAGGTTTGCCAGATATAATACATAAGGTGACAGGCATGTGGGTTTTACTACTCGAAAGTAAGTGGATAATGTGCCCTAAAAAAGAATAATTCCTATATATATATATATATAAATATATGCAACTATAGAGAGCTAAGACTTTGTGTTGGCTAGCTTTCTCAATAAGTATGTATGCATCAAAGGGGAAGCTGACGGTTTCTTGATGCAATTAAGTGAGAACTTCACGCCACTATCAGTGGTCATACTTGGTCTAAATCACTCCTTTGAAGTCCCCTATCTTCACTCGACCGTGCTGAAATCCTGTGGTGTTGTCTAAATCCTCGCAAACAGGCAAATTCAGCCAAACTTAGCATGCAAATCTGCTCAAGCAGCTTACAATTTATCAGGCTAAAATAAACAGGAATGCCTACAAAGCTCCGAATCGGATTGGATGAAGTATCATGGTCCATTGATATGTGGGGTCATCTTGGGGGCAAACGAGTTGGGCAATGTTTCCTTAATAGTGAAATCTTAAAATAAATATATTCATGTATGCTTATGTATGCTTGTGTGTTTTCTTGTTAGTTCGCTCCTCACAAATAGTCTGCTC